CTAAGGTAACTGGTGCTTTTGTTTCCCTGTTCTGTCTGTAAAGTGAAAACCATTTTGGGGCCAGGGGGGCAGGCAGTGTGCTAAGGGCAAAAGTGCAACCCAGAGACACTAATTACATGTCTGTGTGTGACACCAAAGCCACCAGGAATCCTGAAGGACCAAAGAAGGAGATGACTTCAGGACAGCATCAGTGGACACTCTCAGAATAAGATGCTTGTGCAGATCTGCATGATTTATGTGCACTGACTGGTCTCTGCAGTGTATCGAGTGATGGGGTAGGTCATGAAATGTCATTTACAAACAGACCCATTTAGGTGTAAATGAGGTTAAATATATCACGTGCATGATATGTGTGCCTTATTTTAGACAAAATTCTAAAAATGGAAAAGATACAGCATTAATGCTAAATGTGATTTGCCTGATGATAAAATGTGGATGATTGCACTCTCTTTTCTTTGAGTCCCTGGGTTTTCTGATCTCCTCTCCCTGCCATCAACATGCATCACTCACACAGCTAAACAGATGGGAAGCTTTTAAAACTTGGCTTTGTTTGCTGGCATATTCCTCTCTGGGTGCGTGTCTGGATGAGAAGGGCCCCTGAATCTTCCCATCTGTGTGAAATGCACGTACATTATCTTTTACTAGCAGAGCAGAGATCACAAAAACCCAGTCTAACAGAAGTTAGACGAGACACAGATGTCCAGGCACAAGGAGAATCTCAGAATGTGTCGAGTCTTGTCTGCACACCAGCTTTAATGTCTCATGTTTTCATCCATGACTAAAATGATCTAAGAGTGAACAATCCCCAGCTAATTTATACTTGCCTTCAGAATACATTAATTCCTTTTTAATTAATGATTTTATCCCAGGAGAATTAATGTTTTGAAAATGTCTGCCTTGGGCAATTATTGTTAGCAGCTGGTTCTCACTGACTGAGGGAGGGGGTGGGGAAGAGCAGAGGGGTGTGCTGGGGGCTCAAGGAGAAGGCAGGAGGGTGTACAGATCCAAAGACCCTTCCTTCCCCTCCCTCCATCTACAGAGCAGCCCACATGCCTCGTCCACCTAGGTTGTCCCTGAGCCACAGGTAATAGGACAGGGCTCGGCAAGTGACACCTTCATGGGGTTAAAAGAGAAATCTAGTCAGAGCTCATGAAATCTAATTTAATGATTTATTCTCATCATTGGACGGGAAACTCCAGGTTTAGGCAGGGCTTGGAGGAAATTCTTCTTCATGATAAATTAAATAGACTACTTGTATTTCTCCATTATTCACATGGCTCCGTAGAAACCTTTCCTCTCAGCATCTGTGCTTCAGTTAACAAGGGCACTTTCAGGAGGCGTCAGGTCTGCCTCTCACTTCCCCTCCTCCCCACCACCAGCTCAGGATGGCTGACACCAGAGTGAGTGGTTCTGCATTCTGTGATTTTGTGAGATCATGGCCATTTCTGTGTTGGGTCCCCTTCACCCCCTCCACGGCCTCTCGTTGATAGTATAATGGAATTTAAAGCAAACACTGGGATCTTCCTGCCAAAGCACAATGAAAAGACATATGCAACCAGAAACGTATGACCATCATATTGTGACTGGGTGACAGCTGTTAATATGCATGAGATTACATAAAGGATGTAATTATATTTTCATTGTGTTAAATAAAAGAAGAAAAGTGATACCAGCTCGTGATCATTGCCTTTAATCACATGAATTGTTATTTCCTTCTGAAATTGTTAGGGAACATCAGGCTGGAAAGCTGCTAGTGTCACAACCCCCGTGTATGAGGCAGAAAATCCACCCTGGAGTGGGTGGGTGAGAAGCGTGCTCACTCGCTTTGGAGCAAGGTTGATGGACATCCAAATCAGGGTCTCAGTCCCCACCCTCCGCCAGCTTCTTCCAGCGCTCAAACCCCATACTGTGTGTGGAGTGCTGGCCTGCCATTGTTCGTTAATCCAGCACCAACTTCCAAAAGTGTATTCAACAGAAAAAGCTGAAATCTCACAGAAGAGAGAATTTCAGACTCGAGGGGCCTGGCCTTGATCCAGCTGTGGACAAGAAAGGGAAGGTGTCCCCAGCTAGAGTTAGTTGTTCAGTCGCTCAACTGTGCTAAATCTTTGCGATCTCATGGACTGCAGCACACCATACTTCCCTGTCCTTCGCCATCTCCTGGAGTTAGCTCAGACTCATGTCCATTGAGTTGATAATGCCATCAAACCATCTCATTCCCTGTCGCCCCCTTCTCCTCTTACCCTCAATCTTTCCCGACATCAGGGTCTTTTCCAGTGAGTCTGTTTTTGCATCAGGTGGCCAAAGTTTTGAAACTTCAGCTTCAGCATCAGTCCTTCCCATGAATATTCAGGGTTAATTTCCTTTAGGATTGACTGGTTTGATCTCTTTGCAGTTCCTGGGACTCTCAAGAGTCTTCAACAACACAATGCAAAAGCATCAGTTCTTTGGCTCTCAGTTTCCTTTATGGTCCAACTCTCACATCTATACATGACTACTGGAAAACCAAAGCTTGACTATACGGACCTTTGTTGGCAAAGTGATGTCTTACTTTTTAATATGCTATCCAGGTTTGTCATAGCTTTCCTTCCAAGGAGCAAACATCTTTTAATTTCATGGCTGCAGTCACATCTGCAGTGATTTTGGAGCCCAAGAAAATAAAGTCTATCACTGTTTCCATTTTCTTCCCCTTCTATTTGCCATGAAGTGATGGGACCAGATGCTAGAGTTAGAACTTGGGGTAAATCAGGAGACAGTGGGAGGGAGCGATTCCTGACTTGGGGTCTGAACCCTGGACCCCCTGGACAGACACGGTGACAAGATCCCAGGTCCACTCAGGAATCTCCACCAGGGGCATGAGTGAGCCGGAAAGCAAGGGATGGGCAACGGGGGCATCTCCTGAGAAGAACCCCTCTGGAAAACCCAGCTCCCACCATGTTCCAAGCACACGGGGGGTTCACAGGCAGCATATAAGAGTAATTATAAGTCGTTAGAGAAGATCACATGGAATTTTAACCGGATAATTCAAGCAATTATACTAAATGGGAGTTGTTTGTCCTAGTATTACCAAGGGGAAGAACACATGTCATTAACTCTCCTAGAATCTCTCTTCCCCAGGACCAAGCAGAACACCAGCAAGTGGGGATAAACTTTACCATGTGAAATCCTCATCTCCTCCCATAGGATGGTCTCTTGATCCCCAGATAGACCCCTGCTCACACCTCAGACCAACAAAATTCATGATCCCCTACAAATAGTTTCTGCAGAGTGGATAAAATGTCATATGTCATAATGACATAATTACCTATCTTGACTATGGAATTAGTAAAAACACCATAATTATACACTTAGAATCTGAAATCATTTATTACAGAGGCCACATTTTGCCATTTGAACCATAATTTGTAATGACGAACCTTGTAAAAATCCTGTGCAACATGTGGAAAAGGCAATTTTAAAGGATGGAGACAGATTCCCTCAGGAAGCTGGGTACCAGCAACAATTTCTTCAGTCATCAAAAAGAAGTTTGGAGCCCTGGTGAGAGCTTCAAGTTATAAAAGTCAGCAAATTAAATAAATAGAAAGTAGTTTTGAAATGCACTCCGCACACAGCTAATTTGTTACTGCTTCAATATCACTCACTCTCTAAGAGATTGTAAAACCCTCAAGGGTTCTTCAAAGACAAGGGTTGGGATTTTTTCTAAATGTTTAGAAACAGTTGTGAGCATGAATGTGCATGTGTGAGTTTTTGTGTGTGTAAGTCTTTTGCTTAAAGGTACTTTACATGAGTGAAATTAAAAGATGCTTGGTCCTTGGAAGGAAAGCTATAACAAACCTAGACAGCATATTAAAAACCGGAGACATCACTTTGCCCACAAAGGTCCCAGAGTCAAAGCTATGGTTTTTCCAGTGGCCTTGTATGGATGTGAGAGTTAGACTATAAAGAAAGCTGAGTGCTGAAGAATTGATGTTTTTGAACTGTGGCATTGAGGAAGACTCTTGAGAGTCCCTTGGACAGTGAGGAGATTCAATCAGTCCATTCTAAAGGAAATCAGTCCTAAATATTCATTGGAAGGACTGATGCTGAAGCTAAAACTCCAATACTTTGACCCCCTGATGCAAAGAGATGACTCATTGGAAAATACCCTGATGCTGGGGAAGATTGAGGGCAGGAAGAGAAGCGGGGGACAGAAGATGAGATGGTTGGATGGCATCATCGACTCAGTGGACATGAATCTGAGCAAACTCTAGTAGATGGTGAAGAATAGGGAAGCCTGGAGTGCTATAGTTGATAGGGTCACAGAGTTGGACATGACTTAATGACTGAGCAATAATAACAGCATGAATGTCATGTACATGACTACATCATTTAATAGTCAGCTCTTGGGAGACAGGATGTGTGTTTTGAAATACCTCTCCAGAAGGAAGCTCTGCTTCAGAAGCAGATTTGAAATCCTTATGGTGCAGCTCCATGAGTTGTGGTGCTGGGGAATCAGAGGTGACAAATATTTAAAGAATGAAAAGGTGGGACATCCCTGGCAGTTCAATGGTTAAGACTCTACACTTCTGTTGCTGGAGGCACTGGTTCAGTTCCTACTGGGGGAACTAAGATCCTGTATGCTGCACAGTGTGGCCAAATAAACAGTCTTGGTGACACTTATAAACCAAATTTGTTTAAAAAGAATGAAAAGGTAAATCCCTCTTGTTGAGAAGAGTCTGGAGAGAGGAGGAGGCTGCAGGGTGGGGATGGGGTAGGACCCCGCCTGGGGGATCTGCTGCCTCTGAGTCAGGGTCTCACAAAACTTGCTGTCCTGATCTCACCTTGTCCTGGGGAGGGTCTCTCTCTTGTCAGCTCCGACAGGCTGGGCAGTGCCTACTCAGCCCTCCTGCTGACTCCTCCCCACCCGGATGGTCAATACCTCCCCCCCCCCCCCCAGACATCTCCATGTGGAGAAAGGACCTGACTCACAGCAGCTGGGGCTCTTCTGTCTGGGGCTGCCAGCTGCCACGGGGGTGTCACCATGCTCTCACTGCTGACATACATTGCCCAATCTCTGCTTCCAAGAAAACAAGGACCTCTTGTCCTTGCTGAAAGAGATGCCTGCTCCATCCTGTTTTAGAAAAGGTCTGTTCTCGTCCCCCAAAGCTGGCTTTCTAGTGAAGTCCTACTCAGACGCAGACGGTCACTGTGAAGGAGAGAAGATCCTCACTGCATCACCTGAGTGCCTAGATCCAGCCACGCCTGAAGGCAATACCTGGTACTTTCTGTGAAGTGGGCCAATGACTCCCCCTAATTAGAAATTGATTCTGTCCCTGACAGAGTTTTAATTGGTAACCTATTTCTGTCCCTCCGACCCCAACTTCACTCTTCTGAGCCTGAGAAATACTGGGACAGGACAATAAGTGGGCTGTAGAAAGGCGTCTCTGAGCACTGAGGTCATCATAGCTCCTTCCCACCACATCAAGGGACTGATAGCTTTGGGAACACCATTTCCACCGAAGGTTTCATAGCATCCTTCTTGCCACTGCGTCCACAACCTGGAGACCCTCCCCCAGGACTTCTGCTCCACTCCAAGGAGCCCCTAGGCTGCCGCCTCACACATCTCCCAGGCCTGTCCTGCCTGCATCCTTTTCCCATGCCCTCTCTGGCCCCTGTCTATCTGCTGTCTGTGTTCAGCCCAACTCCCCATCTCTCTGATACTGGAACCACCCTCCTCCCCAGCTGCACTTGGTCCCTTGAATGTCCCTTACACATTCTTGGTTTCTTGGCTCCTAGCAGAGCCCTGGGGTCCCTGATGAAAGCTCATCAGCAATAACCACTCACCCACCACCATAAATGCACAGGTAACTGCAGAATTATTGACAGTTTGGGAGCAAGAGAGGGCTTGGGAATTCCTGTTCTCATCCTTGTGTTGTGGAATGCATCGCTACAGGGTTCTAATTAGGCTTATACTGCAAGCAAAGTCACACTTCAAAACATAATAATAATAATTCTACTACAGGAGGAAAGAGACAGTTTTTCATGTAAAGTTTCCACCCTGTGCTTTCCTGGAAGGATTCCAAAGGCTTTGAGAACTTGTTGTCCTAACTAGAGGCATCCCAGAAAGGAGAGCTGGAGGACAGGGAAGGTTCCCTGTATGTCACTCCTTACACTCTGGTCTCCGAGCATCCCACCCTGGCTTCAGGGAAGGAGGGTGGAAAGGGACCTGGTTAGAGGTGTGGGGGGCAGGTCCTGGGGGCTAGGGGGCTGTAGTGACCTGGTAGGGCCGCATCAGCTAGGGGAGGGACCTAAAGACCTTCCTGCCGCCCATGCTGAGACACCACGCAGAAGGACACTCTCAGGGCAGTGCCGCCACCTGCCCCTCCCTGCCCAGAAGATGAAAGGCAGAGTCAGTCAACCCTGGGTGCATACCAGAACCTTCTAGAATGTTCTGACCTCAGTGTCTTCAGTCATAACAGCCAGCCACACACAGGGCTACACCAGAAGAAAATCACCAGAGGCAGCAGCACCAGGGCTCTGTCTGTTCATTTATTCTTTTGAATTGTTTAGCTGCACACCAGATTTGTTTTTCAGGGGGCTGGAATAGAGCTGACAATACGATAGTTGATTGAATGACCATTAACAGCCAATCCTTTATTCCTACTCTGGTTTTTCACTAGGATTTATTTTTACATCTAGCATAAAGTACCTGGCTTAATTTTTTTTTTTTTTTTGCGGGATTCTGAGGCTTTACTTAATTGATTATTGCAACTGATCTCCAGCCCCCATATCTGTTGAAAAAAGTACACACTCCAAGCCCAAGAAAGCAGTGCTTCTTTACCTGAATTTTTATTTTTCATTTTTCTAAAAGTTAACAAGTTTTAAGGGGCCTTTGACCTAAACTATTTATCTTTTATGACAAATAGTTTGGGAACACAGTATCTGAACTTTAAAGGTTAGAGGAGGAAAGCCAAGGCTCACTTTTCACCTTCACTCACTGGCTGTGTTCCTAGGGTAGGAGCTGAATGTCTCAGCGTCCTGTCTGTGAACAAGGCAGGGATAAATCTGCCTCACTGGGGTCCTGCAGGTCGAGTGGGTCTTGTATGGAAAGCAATCAGAAGGTGCCAGCCCACGAAAGCCCCAGTACGTGTGGCATCCCCCGAGGAGCTGCCAGGCCAGATGAGAGCATCACTGGTTCCCGGGGGTGAGGTGAGATGCACCTGCCAGGGCTGAGGCTGCAATGGTTCGAAGTGGAGCTCGTTCTCTGCTGGCCCTTCTGAGGCTGAATGACCGCATTCTCACCAAAACCACATTTAATTCATAAGAATTCAAATGTATGCATTCTTCCAGAAAAAAAAAAGAGAGAGATAATTCAAAATGAGCTGTAAAATTAAATTTACACGTCTACTATTTATGATATGCTGTTCATTTCACTTTAACTTTTGCATTCTGAATGCATTTGCATCTATTCAGTTCGCACTTTGCAAAACCGTGGGAACTGGGTTTCATGGATGATTCCAGAGATTTGTAAAGGCGGTTTAGCCCCAGCACCCTCTGTGCCAGGACGCAGCCCACGTGGTGTACGAATCCACCATGTAAGGAAGGAGACATTTGTGTCTCCATAGGAGGGTAAAGATACACACAAGACTCCCAAGCAGCTCTCCCTCTCTCACCCTGGGGGGCAGCATCCCCACCGGCTCCTGATTCCCTAACACATGCTTGCATCTTAGTTTCTTCCCAAATGCACATGTCTGAACTCACACAACTTGACGTGGGAGTGCGATGGTCTCATGCCACACAGTGAGGCCTCTGCAGTTGTCCAGGTGGAGGAGGGCGGCTGCCCAGACCAGGCGGCAGAGGGGGACCTGGGGAGAGTGGACCAGTCTGGGGTGGCTCAGACCTCCTAACGGGATGGGGAGGTGGAGAAGGGTGAGGGGGCGACCCCTCCAGGCCCATCACTCTCCCCCGCTGTCCAGGACTGAAGGAGCATAACCCATGGAGAACTCCCTCCATCCTCCGTCCTCTGTGGACCACACACTTCCTGCCACCAGCTCCATGGCCCCCACTTCCCCAGCAGTCCCCAGGCTCTTCAGCAAGAGAAGTGTCCGCTTTCACACTCGCCAGGACGGAGTCCCCCTCAAGCTGCTGGCCCCAGGTGCTGTGGGGGCTCCTTACAGTATGAACACCTCTGCAGCGTTGCTCTGGTTTGGCCCCTAGTTGCTTCCTGGCCCCCTGAGCTGGCCCAGCCCCTCTGTCTATTTCTTCCTCGCTCACAGGCACCTCTCTGTGTAGCCAGGGCTGGCTCCCTGCAGGAACCTCTCAGAGTAACACAAGGGCTGTGTGGATGGTCCAGCCAGACCCAGATCCTCTCCCAGCTCTAAGGTCCCATTATCCCACTGCCCAGTCCCCCAACAAGTATTTAATGAGCACCTACTGTGTGCAAGGCAGCAGGGAAAGGTGGTCCCTGAGCACGAGGACCTGAGCCTAGAGGAGCGAGTATTGACCAGAGGTCAGCTTGTCAGCTGTGCTGGGTATGATGAAGGAGGGGACAGCCCGAGATGTGACCCCAGGGACACAGGGCAGGGAGCACTTCCTGGGGAGGGAGGCTGGAGCTGAGCAAGGGAGAGGTGAGGAGGGCTGACCAGAGCAGTAGGGCAGCCTTGAGGGCAGAGGGGCAGGAGGTCAGGGCCCAAATGGGGAGAGACAGGGTGACCTGGGGACAGACAAGGTCCTGGGAGGCCAGACCACAGCCTGTGCTGGAGAGGGTGCAGAGGTACATCCCAGAGTGGGGGGTACACTGGTGGGGGCAGTCCCCAGGGCCCTGTCACCTTAGTGTGGAGGTCTCCTGCTGGCACAGCCCACAACCCCCCACCCATCCTGCCCTGCTCTGTAAAGAGGGCTGGGCCTGTGAACACGCTCCCCTGAGCAGCACCCTGCCACCTCCTGACCACAGATGCTCTGGTGGGGACCTCTGAGGTGGGAGGGGCCTCTGAAAGAGGAGGTATCCTTCCGGTTCCCCCACATGCCTTCAGAGCCACCTCTTTGGGAGTCCAAACTCTGGCTGGTAGCCCCTCCCCCATGGCCCTATGGTTCCCCAAGGGGTCCTTCCAAGGTGGGAAAACAGTGTGCTCCTGGGCCCTGCTCCTCACTTTCCCCTGCCCCAGGAGGTGTGCAGAGCTGGTCCTGCAGCGGCTCTCATCTGCCATCACCCACAGTCTGCTCCTCCAGCCTGAGTCACCCCCTGTCCTCCCAGCTCTGCACCTCAGGTGTGACCCAGTCTCCACTTTTCTGTCTAGATCCTGCCTTTACTGCATTGAAGGTGCAGTGAGCTGGGAAACCACCGAAGGGATTAAGTGAGGAGATGACTTGGTTCAATTCAGTCTTTAAAAGATGACTCCAGCCACTGAGCAGAGACTGGGGTGGCAGGTATGGCAGTTAGGAGGTTGCAGGTGACCTGATGCAGGTGCCATGCCTTGGTAGGGTAGCAGGGCAGATGGATGAAGTGGACACATTCCACAGAGGTTAAGATATGACACCCAGAGCCCTGGGAGATGAATCACGACAGGCTGGTTGTACAGAAGGAGAGCCTGAGGTTCAGAGGCACCATCCCTCCCGCAGCATCGCCCACCCCAGAAACGCAGAGATGGAAGCAGCCTCCAGTCCACACCTGGTGCCCGCACACCTTCTCTCAAGGACACCTCAACAGATGGTGACTCATCATTCTGACGCTAAACTCTTACTACTTGAGGCAAAATTGAAACAAAATGAGAAATGCAGAAAAAAAAATGCTGACACCACTGGCCTGGCGTCAACCACCATGCATCATTTTTAGTTTTCACAGAATTGTCTCTGTATACAGAATGCCGATGCTTGGATGTTGAGGAAGGTTTCCCTGCACGAAGGCCTGAGCAGGGGTGGGGGCGTTGGGGAGGGAATTCTGGGGACTCCCATCCCGGCAGGTGTCTCCCCAGGACCGTGGACAGTAGAACCTTGTTCTTGCTGGGGTTCCATACGTGTGGGCGAGAGACAGGACAGCCGGGGAAGTGGAAAGGGAGCAAACACCCAGGGTCCCAGAGCTGCACACCGCCCACCTCCGCAGGGTCTAGGTTTGCCCCAGGGACAGGGCTTGGTCCTCCGCTCAGACCTGTGCTGACAGGGGGCTGTGGGAGCTCTGGGCTGCACCCCACCAAAGAAACGCCAGCACATCCACTGACAGATCATTCGCACTCATGGCAGGTGTGCTGTGGGCACAGTGGGGAAGGCCCAGGTGAGAGGATGAGGGCGGGGCCAGCGTGGGGTGGGGCCAAGGCTGGGGGCAGGGCCAAATCAGAAGTCCAGAAAGGTGGGACACGCAGTCTTCTTTTGCAGAAGGAAGTGGCAAGCCACTCCAGTATTCTTCCCTGGAGAATCCCATGGACGGAGGAGCCTGGTTGGCTGCCGTCCACAGGGTCGCAAAGAGTTGGACACAACTGAGCAACTTCACTTTCACTTTCTTTCCACTCTTCTTTTGTGCTGATTCAGGATAGACAGAATGATGTCCACCTCCAAGGGCCTCCGTGGGTCTCACAGCCCCTCTTTCACTGCTTCCATCTTCACTGTCTTTCTTGGACCACAAGACAGACGGGGTGAACTAATCACACTGCACAGATTCCGTGTCATTTGTCTGCATGTGGGTTCCATCTGGTTTTATTATTTCTTTATTCCCCTTTAGTCCATTCCTCTCCTGCCCTTAGGAAATCATAAAACTGTGTTTACTAGTAAATGTTTTATTTTTATGAAATTTTAATCTTATTTATTTGTGTTTATTGAGACTCTTTCCCAAGATTTCATTTTTAGGAAAATCTTGAGTTGTGTTTAATGACTATTTTTTTAATTGAATGTGGTCTTGTAAAATGTCCACTGCTGTTTTGTGGGCATATATTTAAACATACACCGATAGCATTCTGTTATATGTTTCCTTCTGTTTATGACACTTTTTGTTTTTACAAATAATTGTGTTCTGAACAGATGCTGATGTTGCTAAGTGCACAGTGACTCCATTGTTTTTCTCAACTGCATGGTGTTCAGGGGCCATGTTTTCCCCCCACGTTTCCAGGAAGCCTCCAACTCCTGGCACCACACACATGCTCAGACAACATCCCTTGTCACATGTGGACCCGTGTCAGCATCTTCCCAGGCAAGTGCTTGGGGGTGCAGGCGGGGAGACACTGGTCATAGAGTTCTCCTGTATTCAGTCTGACTAAACAGTGCCAGCTTTCTTTCCGGGGTGGATGTTCCATCTACTCTCCCACCTACTGGGCCTGGGTGTCCCTGTGTCTCCGTCTCCCTGGCAACACTGGCAGTTGCCAGCTTCCTAATCGCTGCCAGACTATTAGGTATAAACAGATATCACATTTC